GGACATGCTGGACACGTGGTCCAGCAACTGGCTTCTCGAATTCAACCCCGCCAAATGCAAAGTCATGAAGATTGGGGAAGGTCAAAGAAGACGGAGCAAAGGTTAGGTGGACTAAGACTGCAAACTTCACTCAAGGAGAAAGATCTTGGGGTGAGCATAACACCAAGCACGTTTCCGGAAGCACACATCGACCAGATAACTGCTGCAGCATATGGGCACCTGGTAAACCTGAGAATAGCGTTCCAATACCTTAGTAAGGAATCGTTCAAGACACTGTACACTGTGTACGTCCGGCCCATAATGAAGTATGCAGCACCAGTTTGGAACCCACACCTGGTCAAACACGTCAAGAAATTAGAGAAAGTGCAAAGGTTTGCAACAAGGTTAGTCTCGGAGCTCAGGGGAATTTCCTACGAAGAAAGGTTGAGGGAAATCGGCACGACGACACTGGAGGACAGGAGGGTCAGGGGAGACATGATAATGACATACAAAATACTGCGTGGAATAGAGAAGGTAGACAGAGACAGGATGCTCCAGAGAGGGGACACAGAAACAAAGGGTAACACTTGGAAGTTGAAGACTCAGATGAGTCAAAGGGATGTTAGGAATTATTTCCGAAGTCATGGAGTAGTCAGGAAGTGGAATAGTCTAGCAAATGATGTAGTGGAGACAGGAACCATACATAGCTTTAAGACGAGGTATGATAAAGCTCATGGAGCAGGGAGAAAGAGGACCTAGTAGCGATCAGCGAAGTGGCGGGGCCAGGAGCTGAATCTGGACCCCTGCAACCACAGTTAGGTGAGTACACACACACACACACAATCAGCGAAGAGGCGGGGCCAGGAGCTATGAATCGACCCCTGCAACCACAAATAGGTGAGTACAAATAGGTGAGTACATGTACACACACACACACGCACACACACACACACACACACCCACACACACACACACACACACACACAGTTGGAGACAGTGTAGTGGGTCACAAGCGCCAGCCCCGAGGATCTTAGTGCTTTTAGGGCGTGTTTCAGCAGTTAGAAGCAACCAGTGTTAGTGACAACGTCAGTGAACAACCCTACAAGTGATAACCAATGTATTAGCAAAAATAAATAAAGTAAAGGCGAGAGAAAGCCTGAAATTATACAACAAAATTTCAAAGTGCCAGTTCGTTGAGGCATAGTTGGCACCTGTTGCCACATTGTTACACATATACAAAGTACAAAGCGAGTGACTAAAGAGAAAAGACCAAATAGAATTTAGAGAGGGTGGAAACAACAAAATGTGATGTAGCACACAGCGTGAAAAAGCTAGCCAGAAAGGGGATATATATATATTATATAAAATATATATATAATATAAGATATAAACAGCTATTGGAGGATAGATGGGCTAATGAGAGCATAGGCAAGGGGGTCAAGAGGTATGGGGTGGGTTTTAAAAAAATGTAGTGTTAGAGTGTTCAGCAGAAGTTTGTGGTTACAGGAAAGTGGGTGCAGGAGGGAAGAGGAGCAAATGGTGGAATGATGATGTAAAGAGAGTAGTAAGGGAGAAAAAGTTAGCATATGAGAAGTTTTTACAAAGTAGAAGTGATGCAAGGAGGGAAGAGTATATGGAAAAAAGAGAGAAGTTAAGAGAGTGGTGAAGAAAAGTAAAAAGAGAGCAAATGAGAGAGTGGGTGAGATGTTATCAACAAATTTTGTTGAAAATAAGAAAAAAGTTTTGGAGTGAGATTAACAAGTTAAAAAAGCCTAGAGAACAAATGGTTTTGGGTCAGTTAAAATGGGAGAGGAGAGTTTTTAAAATGGAGAGTTAGAGGTATTGGGAAGATGGAAGGAATATTTTGAGGAATTGTTAAATGTGATGAAGATAGGGAAGCTGTGATTTCGTGTATAGGGCAAGGAGGAATAAACATCTTGTAGGAGTGAGGAAGAGCCAGTTGTGAGTGGGGGGGAAGTTCGTGAGGCAGTAGGTAAAATGAAAGGGGGGTAAGGCAGCCGGGATTGATGGGATAAAGATAGAAATGTTAAAAGCAGGTGGGGATATAGTTTGGAGTGGTTGGTGCAATTTATTTAATAAATGTATGGAAGAGGGTAAGGTACCTAGGGATTGGCAGAGAGGGATGCAATAGTTCCCTTTTTATAAAGGCAAAGGGGATTTAAAAAAGAGTGCAAAAATTATAGGGGGATAAGTCTGTTTAGTGTACCTGGTAAAGTGATGGTAGAGTTTTAATTTAAAGAATTAAGAGTAAGACGGAGAATTTGGATAGCAGATGAACAAGGAGGCTTTAGGAAAGGTAGGGGGTGTGTGGACCAGGTGTTTACAGTGAAACATATAAGTGAACAGTATTTAGATAAGGCTAAAGAGGTCTTTTGTGGCATTTATGGATTTGGAAAAGGCGGTATACAGGGTGGATAGGGGGGCAATGTGGCAGATGTTGCAAGTGTATGGTGTAGGAGGTAGGTTACTGAAAGCAGTGAAGAGTTTTTACGAGGATAGTGAGGCTCAAGTTAGAGTATGTAGGAAAGAGGGAAATTTTTTCCCAGTAAAAGTAAAGGGCCCTTTGACAAGGTTTTGTGATGTCACCCTGGTTTTTTAAATATATTTATAAAATGGGGTTGTAAGAGAAGTAAATGCGAGGGTCTTGGCAAGAGGCGTGGGGTTAAAAGATAAAAGAATCACACACCCAAAATGGGAGTTGTCACAGCTGCTCTTTGCTGATGACACTGTGCTCTTGGGAGATTTTTGAAGAGAGTTGCAGAGATTGGTGGATGAATTTGGTAGGGTGTGCAAAAGAAGAAAATTAAAGGGGAATACAGGAAAGAGTAAGGTTATGAGGATAACAAAAAGATTAGGTGATGAAAGATTGAATATCAATTGGAGGAGAGAGTATGGAGGAGGTGAACGTATTCAGATATTTGGGAGTGGACGTGTCAGCGGATGGGTCTATGAAAGATGAGGGGAATCATAGAATTGATGAGGGAAAAAGAGTGAGTGGTGCACTTAGGGGTCTGTGGAGACAAAGAACTTTTGTCCTTGGAGGCAAAGAGGGGGAAAGTATGAGAGTATAGTTTTACCAACGCTCTTATTTTGGGTGTGAAGCGTGGGTGATGAATGTTGCAGCGAGGAGAAGGCGGAGGCAGTGGAGATGTCATGTCTGAGGGCAATGTGTGGTGTGAATATAATGCAGAGAATTCGTAGTTTTTGGAAGTTAGGAGGAGGTGCGGGATTACCAAAAAAAATGTTGTCCAGAGGGCTGAGGAAGGGTTGGTTTAGGTGGTTCGGACATGTAGAGAGAATGGAAACGAAACAGAATGACTTAAGAGTGTATCAGCTGTAGTGGAGGAAGGCGGGGGTAGGGGTCGGCAAGGAAGGGTTGGGGAGGGGGGTAAAGGAGGTTTTGTGTGCGAGGGGCTTGGACTTCCAGCAGGCATGCGTGAGCGTGTTTGATAGGAGTGAATGGAGACAAATGGTTTTTAATACTTGACGTGCTGTTGGAGTGTGAGCAAAGTAACATTTATGAAGGGATTCAGGGAAACCGGCAGGCCGGACTTGAGTCCTGGAGATGGGAAGTACAGTGCCTGCACTCTGAAGGAGGGGTGTTAATGTTGCAGTTTAAAAACTGTAGTGTAAAGCACCCTTCTGGCAAGACAGTGATGGAGTGAATGATGGTGAAAGTTTTTCTTTTTCGGGCCACCCTGCCTTGGTGGGAATCGGCCGGTGTGATAATAAAAAAAAAATATACATACATATACATAAATATATATAAGCAGAGGTGGTGGCAGCAGTAGGCCTGAGGGAGTAGCGCCGCCATAACAGGTTGGGTGTCATCACAAATAAGTAGTGTACTTACCAAAAGTGAAGTGTAAATTATAAAAGTAGCAGTATACAAGTGATAAGTGTGGTAAATGAGGACTCAAAAGGGCAACGTGAAAAGAATAACCGAAGAAGTCAGCGGCGGAAGGGCGAGGTGCACGAGTCATCATACAGCGAGCATCGTACAGCGAGCATCGTACATCAGGCATCTGGATGGACGTCCCCTCTGAGTTGTAACGTACAAATCACCTGTTTTGTGGTTGGCGGGAAGTCTGAGTGGTAGAGCCGGCCCTGTGGTCACTGGTGGCTCACTATCTAAACCCTGCTCCAGAGGGATTATCATACACACAACACCTAGCAGTAGTAGGAAGATAAAATTTGTAGGAGCAAGGATTAGGCAGGAGGATTAAGTCGTGGCTAATGGGACTACAGCCCTGACAACAGTTTCGAGAGATAATGTTTTAGGACACAAAGACAGTACAATCTGAGAAGCAAGTATTGGGTACACATGTAGTAAAAGGTAGTACATAACTGGGTGAAAGAATGACTTGTTAACACACGCTAGTATTATAATTATTAGAACTACTCTCAGTGTTAATGGTATCTCATTAGTATTACGGGTACACAGAAGTGAATTGTATTTCTGGGACATATAAACAACTGACGTGCTCACACACACACATGCGCGCACACACATACACACTGGGGGCCAGGAGCTGGGTCTCGACCCATGAAACCACAACAAGGTGAGTACACACAGCTGATCCTTGGAATTTGACCGCCTCCCCCACAGACCCTCACTCCCTCCTACCTTTTCCTCCCTCGCGTTTCTCTCATAGCCTTTTTCCCTCCCCCTACTCACTCTCTCTCTCTCTCTCTCTCTCTCTCTCTCTCTCTCTCTCTCTCTTTTTTTTTTTTTTTTTTTTTTTTTTTTTTTTTTTTTTTTACACATGGTTTGACAAGGTTAAGGATCCCTAGCTTTATTGACAAGCTATTTACAGGTTAAGGATTCCTAACTTTATTGACAAGCTAAGAGCTGTTACCTACATCAGCTCATTTGAAAGCATTTTTATTGTTTATCTCTCTCTCTCTCTCTCTCTCTCGTATATCTCTATATTTTGTGAGCTGTAATTATTACATTAACGAGAAAGCGCTAAACCCGTTGGGCTCATAAAGGGAATCTTTATTCTTCCACCTTCTGTTGTCCATCTACATTCTTTGACATGTTCCAATCTTTATTATTTGACCTCTTCCCATCTTTGTTCTTTGACCTTTCCTTGGATGATTTTTCCTCTGTTGTATTCCAGGGGGAGCGTTAAATCCATAAGAGCAGCACAGCGCTTGGGGAATAGGAGATAACCAGGTTCGATCCGAGGGAGAGGAGGAGAGCTCTAATTCCTCCACTCATGAAGCTCTTCGTATAACTCAGCTCCCTCCACCGGGCAAGACGCAGTCTCCCTCTTCTTCTGGGTGTGTTGGGTGCTGACGGCGCCGTTGCGGGGATCCAGAACGACTTGGTGACGATGTCGGGACCGAGAACGAGACCGAGATCGGGAACGGCGAGTCCGCGGCGACGAAGAGTGAGGACGTCGCATGTTCGTTCCCAGGAGGATGACAATGATAGCCACGTAAAACACCACGATCACGGCGACGAAGATGGCGGCCTCAGCGGAGATTTCTGTAGTAGTGGGTAGTGAAGGTGGGTCCTGGAGCTGGGCCATGTACTCTGGCAAGGTCTGGGACCCAACTCTCCCCCCTCCTCCGGCCAGGACACAACCGAGTCTGGAGTGGAAGCAGAGGCGGTCTAGAGCTGGGCTGTGAGGGAAGGTGTGGCCGCTGGAAGGAAAGCCTTGCGCGTGGGAGCTGTCTGACCACATCCTCGCCTCCAGCTCCTAGTACACACTGGGGTCTTCTCTTACTCTCCTCCAGGATGACAGCCACAACAGATGATTGCTTTCCAGGTAACTCTTTACTACGAGGTGTAGAGGAGTAGCAAGTGTGGGGAGAGTCATCCACGCGCCGCGACTTGCCACAGGTTCTGTTGCACTAGCACTGGATGCTTCTAGCTGCTAAAAACACGCCCTAAAAGCACTAAGATTCTCGGAGCCTGGCGCTTGTGACCCACTACACTCTCTCTCTCTCTCTCTCTTTTTTTTTTTTTTTTTTTTTTTTTTTTTTTTTTTTTTTTACACAGGGTTTTGACAAGGTTAAGGATCCCTAGCTTTATTGACAGCTATTTACAGGTTAAGGATTCCTAACTTTATTGGCAAGCTAAGAGCTGTTACCTACATCAGCTCATTTGAAAGCATTTTTGTTATGAGACATACAAGTAGGGAACAGGATTTAAGTTGGAGCCATCTGTGGGCCAGCATTTTCATTTGATCAACTGACGTTATCTCGTTGACATCATTATGCTGTACGAAGTAGACATTCCATAACAGTGGACCCAGCACACTTCCTTGTGGAACGCTTGCCCCAATAGGATGCCTTGCTGATTCCGTTCCATTGAGGACTACACTTAGAGATCTACCATGAAAGGGAATCACTGAGGAGACATAGCGTAGAGCCTGCAATTCCCAGTGCTTGAAGTTTTGCTAAGAGGCCCTGGTGCCACACCCGGTCGAAAGCGCCAGCAATGTCTCTCTCTCCCTCTCTCCCTCTCTCTCTCTCCCTCTCTTCTCTCCCTCTCTCTCTCTCTCTCCCTCTCTCTCTCTCCCTCTCTCTCTCTCTCCCCCTCTTCTCTCTCTCTCCCTCCCCTCTCTCCCTCTCTCTCTCCTCTCTCTCTCCCTCTCTCTCCCCTCTCTCTCTCTCCCCTCTCTCCCCTCTCTCTCTCCCTCTCTTCTCCCTCTCTCTCTCCCACTCTCCTCTCTCTCTCCTCTCTCTCCCTCTCTCTCTCCTCTCTCCCTCTCTCCTCCCTCTTCCCCTCTCTCCTCTCTCTTCTCTCTCTTCTCTCTCTCTCTCTCTCTCTCTCTCTCTCTCTCTCTCCTCTCTCTCTCTTCTCCTCTCTCTCTCCCTCCCTTTTCTCCTCTCTCTTCCCTTCTCTCCCTCTCTCTCTCCCTCCTTCTCTCCCCCTCCCCTCTCTCTCCCTCACTTCCCTCTTTTTTTTTTTTTTTTTTTTTTTTTTTTTTTTTTTTTTTTTTTTTACACGGGTTTTTTTTGAAACAAGTTAAAGGGATCCCTAGCTTTATTGACAGCTTTTACGGGTTTAAAGGTTTCCCTAACTTTATTGGGCAAGTAGAGTTTTACCTACATCACTCATTTGAAAGCATTTTTGTTATGAGAATAAAAGTGGGAACAGGATGAAGTTGGAGCCTCTGTGGGCCCGATTTTCATTTGATCAACTGACTTATTTCGTTGACATCATTATGCTGTACGAAAGTGTTCCATATCGAGTCATCCTGGGTATGTATGATCTCAGATGGAGTGATGCGGGGAAAAGGGGGTACACCAGAGTGAAGTTGCGGCTTTCTCCCCTTTCTTTGGCCATAAAAGCTTTTTTTCCACCCCTTGTCCTCGAAGTGGACCCCAAGTGTGGTATTTTGACAATAGGGCCCGTGTACAACAGTAAGGCCACCCACTTCCCTCCTATGTTGAAGGCTTGCGAAATGACAGATCTATCCAGGATGGGCCCCGGCGGGGGGAGATGAACTCTTGCCTGTTCTTTTACTCTGTCAAGCATTTCGCAGATGAGGGGGGGGGGGGCAGGCAAACCAAAAAAGTGGGGGAAATACCCCTCTCTCTCTCCCTCTCCTCTTCCCTCTCCCCCTCTCCCTCTCTTCTCCCCTCTCCATCCCTCTCCCTTTTCTCCTCCCCCCCTCTCCCCTCCCTCCCCTCTTTTCCCTCTCTCTCTCCCCTCTCCCTTTCCCTCTCCCTCTCTCTCTCCCTCTCTCCTCCCCTCTCTCTCCCTCCCCCCTCTTTTTCCCTGCAGGGGGGAAAATTTTATTCCCTTTTTAAAAAAAAGGGAGACAGAAAAGAGGCACAAAACTATAGACCTTGCCCTTTTGAGTGTATAGTACCCAAAATTTTGGGAAAAGGGATTATCGGGGAGGAGAGTGGTGGAGCACCGGGAAAGGGGAAAAAGGATATAAATCCCAAACCCGCAGGGTTTTGGCACAAACCTTCTGGAGTTTTATGAAAAAAATAACAAAAGTAAGACAAGGGGGGAAGGGGGGGGGTTGATTGAAATCTTCTTGGCCCTGCAAAAAGGGCCTTTGACACAGTCCTCACAAGGATTAGTGCAGAAGTTTAAGCATCAGGCCATATAACGGGAAGGCACTGCAATGGATCGAAAATACCTGACAGGGGGGCCCAACAACGATTTCATGGTACGAAAAGATGTATCAAAAGTGGGCACCTTGACAGCGGGGCCCCAACAGGGGGGGGCCTGGGAAACCATGTTTTTTTTGGTATATTGAACGAAAAGACGGAAGGGTTAGACTCGGGGAAGGTCCCTGTTTGCAAAAGAGGGTTGAAGTTAATGAGGAAAATTTAAAATCTGATGAGGACCAGGCGGGCCCTTCAAAGAGACCTGGACAGACGGACACCTGCCCAAAAAAGGGTTTTCCCCGGGGAATTTAACCTGCCAAATGCAAAGTCATGAAGATGGGGGAAGGGCACAGAAGACCACAGACAGAGATAGGCTGGGGGGCCAAAAGACTGAAAAACCCTCCTAAAGGGGAAAAGATCTGGGGGTGAGTATAACACCGAGCATGTCTCCGGAAGCACCATCAATCAAAAAAAACGTGAAAGCTTTATGGCGCCTGGCAAACCGGGAAACGGGCATTCCGATACCTTAGTAAGGAAAACATTAAAAGACACTTTTACCCCTTTGTATGTCGGGCCCAATTTGGAGTATGCAGCCCCTTTTTGGGAACCCGCACTTGATAAAGCACGTCAAGAAACTAGGAAATTTAACAAAGGTTTGCGAAAAGGGTTTTTTCCCCAAGGCAAAGGGGGAATGTCCAATGAAGAAAGTTTAAAGGGAAACCCGGCCCTGACGAAAACTGGAGGACAGGAGGGCCCGGGGGAGAAAAGGAAAAACCGACATATAAAATATTTTGCGGGGAATAGACAAGGGGGACAAGGACAGATTTCCCGGGAGGGGACACAGAAAAAAAAAGGGGCCCCAAAATTTGGAAGTTGAAGACACAAATGTTTCAGAGAGATATAGGAAGAAATTTCTTCAGTCATAGAGTTGAAAGGCAGGGGAAACCCAAAAAATGACTAGTGGGGGCAGGAACCATACACAGTTTTAAGACGGGGTTTTGGGAAAACCCAAGGAGGGGGGAGAGAGGGGGCCTAGTAAAACCCGGGTAAGAGGGCGGGGCCGGGAAGCTAGGACTCGACCCCTGCAACCACAAATAGGGGGGAGTACAACACCACACACACAAAACCACACACACACACACACCCAACTAAAAAGGGAATCAAGAATCCCTGACAGTGAGGCAACAACGGTAATGGAAATTTAAGGAGTACCCACGGGGGGGCACCTGCCCCTTTTTGCAGATGATGTTAAGTTAATGGGGAAAATTAAACAGATGGGGAAACCAGGCAGGGACTTAAAAAGAGACTGGAAAATTACTGGAACCGGGTCCACAAAGGGCTTCTCGAATTTAATCCCGCCAAAAAGCAAAGTCATGAAGATAGGGGAAGGGCACAGAAAAACCACAACAGAGTATGGGCTAGGGGGGCCCAAAAGGACTGCAAAGCCCCCTCAAGGAGAAAGATTTTTGGGGTGGGGAAACACCGAGCTTTGTCCCCGGGAAAGCCCCACATCAACCAATAACTGCTGCAGCATATGGGCGCCTGGAAAACCCTAAAGAAAAACATTCCGAAAACCTTAGAAAGGGAAATTTTCAAGACATTTGGTACACCTTTGTATGCCGGGGCCCCATACGGGGAGTATGCAGCACCTGTTTGGAACCCGCCCCTTGTTAAAGGAGGGGCAAAAACTGGAGAAAGTACAAAGGTTTGCAAACAAGGTTATTTCCGGGACAAAGGGGGAAATACCTATGAAAAAAGGGTTTAAAGGGGAAAATTTCCTGACGACCTGGGGGACAGGAGGGTCGGGGGAGACATGAAACGACATAAAATACTGCTTTGGAATAGCCCAAGGGGGAAAAAAAGACAGGATGTTCCAGGGACGGGACACAGAAACAAGAGGCCACAATTGGAAGTTGAAGACACAAATGAGTCAGAGAGATATTAGGAAGTATTTCTTCAGTCATAGAGTTGTCAGGCGGTGGAATAGCCTAGAAAATGACGTAGTGGAGGCAGGAACCATACACAGTTTTAAGACGAGGTCTGATAAAGCTCATGGAGCAGGGAGAGAGAGGGCCCAGTACCAACCGGTGAAGAGGCGGGGCCAGGAGCTAAGACTCGTCCCCTGCAACCACAAATAAGTGAGTACACACACACACACACACACACAATAGTGGCCAGTGAAGAGGCGGGGCCAGGAGCTGTGACTCAGCCCTGTAGCCTCAACTAGGTGAGTACAACTAGGTGAGTACACACACACACACACAGTATAGACAGAATATAGGTTAGGTGGCCAAAGAGTGCAAATGCCACTCAAGGAAATGGATCTTGGGGTGAGCATAATACCGAGCACATCTCCTGAGGCGCACATCAACCAGATAACTGCTGCAGCATATGGACGCCTGACAAACCTAAGAATAGTTTTCGGATACCTAAGTAAGGAATCGTTCAGGACTCTGTACACCGTGTACGTCAGACCCATACTGGAGTATGCAACACCATTTGGAACCCACATCTGGTCAAGTATGTTAAGAAATTTATGAAAATGCAAAGGTTTGCAACAAGACTAGTTCCAGAGCTAAGGGGAAGAAAGGTTAAAGGAAATTGTCCTGACGACACTGGAGGACAGGAGAGTTAGGGGAGACATAATAATGACATACAAAATACTGCGAGGAATTGACAAGGTGGACAGAGAAAAGATGTTCTTGAGATGGAACACAGAAACAAAGGGTCACAATTGGAAGTTGAAGACCCAGATGAGTCAAAAGGATGTTAGGAAGTAAATCTTTAGTCATAGATTTGTTTGGTAAGTGATGTAGTGGAGGCAAAAACCA